GAAACAGTGATCTCTTTTGGCTCACGGTTTTGGAGGTCTCTGTCCATGGTTGGTTTTCCCTTTGCTTCTGTGCTTGTGGCAGCACAGTACATGATGGTGGGAGCGCTTTGCAAAGAAAGCAGAGAAAGAGACTGGCATGCCAGAATCCCTTGTAAAGGCACATAACCACTGACCTAAATTCCTCCAACTACACCTAACCTTTTAAAGGTTCCCCTACCTCCCCAAACCACCGCAGATGATGAGAAATCCTTTACTACATAGTTCTTTGGGAGCCATTTAGCTAAACTGCAGCAGGATATAATACTCTGGGAACTTGTGGTACATTATAAAATGGAGATGGTTTGTGAATATAGTCATCAAAAGTACATGTTGGCCACACTTACTTACTTAAACCACTTTCCACCCTAAATCCTGGCTTAAGAAACCTGGGTTTCTTACCTTCTGATGAAAAAAAGTGGTGGTGCATACCTATATTCCTAGCACTTAAGAGGCTAAGGCAAGAGGATTACGAGTTCAAGGCCTTCTGAGGTCAAACCCAGCCTGGATTATTTAGCAACACTCTGTCTTAAAAAAAATATCAAAGCATAGTGGTGTGCACCAGTAATCCCACCCCAAGGGAGGCAGAAGCAGGATTACAAGTTCAAATCAACCTGTACAATTTAGGAAGACTCTATCCCAAGAAAATAAAAAATAAAAAGAATTAAGGATGCAACTCAGTGGTAGAGCATCCCTAGGTTTTAGGCCCAATACCACCACCACCAAAAAAAGAAAAAAAATGTTGTATTTAAACACCCAACCAAGTTTAGAGGAGAGAAGAAATAGATGTAACTTATTTGACAGCCTTAGGATAGATGTGTCCTGTTTCCATTTCATTCAGCTTTTATTGGACTCATTCTACCATTTCAGTAAGGCAATGAAGAAAAGCAAAATAAACAATAACCCTTTTCTAACTAGAAATAATCATAAATTTTAAAATGCAGTCTTGGCTACATCATAAAAGGAATTCTCTTTGTCTAAACATAGCTATATTTTATTCTACTATAAACTAATCTGAATTTTTCAGAGATTTTTGTTGTACAAAGATCTCATTTATTCTAAAATCATCTTGCTAAACATTTCTCCAGCAAATTGAAGTAGATATATGCCATAGGACATCATTATAATATACCTAAATCGATAGATTCTAGTCTATAACCAATTCTGGTAAAGAATTAGGTGGCATAATTCCTAGGGGTTGTGTTTTCACAGATACACCATGTAGATGTACTGAGATGGTAAACTAAATAGAAGCAAGAAGGGGTATTCCTGGCAGATATGGATAGCATCTATGTTGCTTTAGCTCGATTGATTAATCTTCTACAGTAAATTGCATATCCTGCTGACCCAAATGCACCTATCTCTAGTGCCTTGGTATGTTTTACAGCCTTCTTCTGGCACTACCTAATGAAAGCTATAAAAAGAAAATATTTCCATTCCATTACAGTAACAACAAAAATTTTAAGAATGAAGCCACAAAAATACCATGTCACATCACAGGTTTTTTCTTAATAATAAGTCTAAAAGTAATTAGCCTCACATCAGTTCAAAGAGCAAGAGTTTCTAAACTTTTCTTAAAATGTTAAATTTTCTATTATCAATAAAGTACAAGAATAACATAAGCATAATTTCTTAATGCCAGAAAGTAGTTGACTAACAATTATTATGCTGATATCTTATATTTTGTATGAAGCATTCTTTTCTATTGCATTATAAAGCCTAAAGATTATGAACCAACTCAGTTTTATATGCTCTAAGACAGGGCTATAATGGGAAAGATATAGTCATTCTTTGACATTTACCAGAAATGTTATTTACTAAAACTGCCACCTATGTAGGTCCCTGTGATCCTATTTTGAGTTTAAAAGAAAGAACTAGTGGAATATCTAAGGCCACTCCTCACTCCTCACTCAAAGGCATCTAGACCTACTTCAAAGATAATATTGCAAGTTTTGTGTGTGTGTATGTGTGTGTTTGTGTGTGTGTTTTACAATAGATTGAACCTAAGCCCTTAGCACTGATGTACATCCCCAGCCCTTTTGAATTTTTTTATTTTGCAAGGGAGTCTCACTAAGCCACTAAATTGCCCAGGCCAAGCTCTGACTTGCAATCCTCCTACCTCCAACTCCCAGGATTCTGGGATTACAGACCCACGAAATTTTCTTTTGTAATATATGAAGAAGAATAAGATATTACTATAAAAATACCGGAGCTTTCATATCCCTTTCCCATCATCCAGTTTCTCCCCAGTTTGAAACACCTGTGCATGCTTCTCTTTTTCTTGAACTCTCTGGAGACTTCACTAGACCTCAAGCACAGGTCTCAAAGGCAAGCCTGCAGAGGCTTACTTTCCAAATGGGTGGAACCCTTAATGCCCTCACTTGTTCTCTGCACCAAAACTCACAGAAATTTCCTAAAACGCCAATAGCTAGCCAAGCAGAGGAGCTTTCCAGCATTTATGATTTGTGTTGAATTTATATTTTTACTGTATTTTTTATTTTAAAGAGAATTTTTAAAAACAGTAACAATACAGAATTTCAAAACAAGATGATAGGAAATTAGCAATGGTTGTTATATTGCTTATTGTTATCTTCAAAGTAGTTGTTCATATTACCAAATGTAGCCATGCAAAACTGATCAAATAACACAAGGATCATAACAGAAAACAAAATAAAAAAATTTTTTGAAACAGAAAATGTCAAAATGAAGGAGCAAAATGCAATCTCTTAACTCCAGCCCACCCAGAACACATCCAGGAGACATTGACATAGAAAAACTTAGAAGTCACACACCTGAAATTTCTGAAATGATAGCAAATGAAGTAAAAAAGCAACTCCATCATGCTATAGAAGAAATCAGAAATAATCTCTCAGGTAAAAAAAGAAATGACAACCATAATGAAAGAAATGTTCAGCATATCTAAAGAAGACAGATTTTAAAAATCGAAGAGTATAGAAAAATGATGGAAACCTTGAATGAATGATATAGGAAAGAATTAGAGTGCATGAAACATTCAAAGTGATATCCAGGAAATAAAAAATTCCATTGAAAATTGACAAAAACCACCTCAACGAAACTGAAGATAAACTTTCAGACATTGAGGACAGCATTACAGCTAGTGCTCACAAAAGTAAAAATCTCTTTAAAATAACAAGGAACAAGAAAATAACAATTCAATAACTGCAAGATGATAGAAAGAAAAACAATATATGACTGATAGGTGTTAATGAAAAAGCAGAAGTCAACACAAAGGACTTAAAAGATTATTTGCAGAAGTAATAGAAGAAAAATTCCCCAAGCATGGGAAAAGAATCTGACATACAGTTCAGTGAGGCATATAACTCCCAACTAGCCATAACCAAAATAAATCTACAGCCAGACATATAATAATCAAGATCCCAGAAATTCAGCACAAGAACAGAATATTAAAAGCTGTTAAAGAAAAAAAAAAAAAAAGATCACCTATAAAAGAAAGCCCATCAGAATCATAGCAGATTTCTCAATACAAATCATCAAGTCAAGAAGAGCTTGGAGTGAAGTATTCAGGCCCTGTGTTGAATTTAAATAAACTTAAAATACCCTAACAACTTAATTTTATCACGCATTTCATAGTTACTTTCTCTTTGCTGATACATAACATCAGACACCCACAATTTAAAGGAGGAAAGATTTATTTTGCCTCACAGTTTGTAGAGAGTTTAATTCATAGTGAGATGGGTCCAAGATAGAGCAGCATGGCAGAGGAGCCTGGCAGAAAAGAATTGCTCATGACATAGCAAGCAGGAAGCAGAAAGAGCTCATGGGAGGACAGCAAGAGGTAGACCCAGGCCAAGCTCCCAGTGACCCACCTTCTCTGACCAGACTTCACTACCCAATGTCATATTTAGCTATAAACTCAGGAGTAGACTAACACACCGATGAGTATCATGCCTCTATGACCCAATTACCTCGTGAAATCCCCATCTATCATCACATGAGGCTTTGGGGGGACATTGTGGTGAATTGACAACTGGTGGTCAACTTGGAACACCCAACTGAACTGAACTAGTGTGGTGCTGGGTGTGGGAGGCCCACTGAGGACTATTGTCAGTAGCATAAGAGGCAGAACTGGAGAAGAAGAGAGGCTGTTGGAAGCTGAGAGAGGCTGTTAGGAGCCGATAGAAGCTGTTGGGTGATGTTAGAAGCTGTGAGGAGCTGTTGTTTCTCTTGGAGGAGCTTACCATGCTGGCTTTCAGATGAATTTGGCTGTTCTCACTGAAAGAGGAGCTCGGGACCTTGTTGTCACTGAGAATGGCTTCAATTCACTTTGGGAAAGCTCTAGTCCTCATTTTGAGCATCACTTCATGGCTCTGGAGTGGACGATGGTGCAGTGCTCAGTCTCCTGGAGAACCTTGTCACATTGGCTTTCCTGATAGGAACTTGGCTTTCCTCCTTATTGGAGGAGCTTGAGACCCGCTGTTCCTGAGGATGGGTGTGGTACTTTTGGGGGAGCTTTGGTTCTTACTTTGAGCATCATTTTCTGGCTCCAGTGCAGATCCTTCAACCTGCTAGCACAGATCCTTCATCCTGCTGGCATAGACTTTCTAGCTTCCACCACTTACCTTTGGACCTTCCCACCTCAGATCCATGAAACAGGCCTGCATGGGACATTGTCATGGACTCTTGACCTCTAGTTGGATTCATGGGAGGCATTGTTATGGGCTCTAGGTCTTCAGCTGGACTCATGCAGGACATTATTGTGGGATCTAGGCCCTCAGCTGGATTCTTTGTTCTTTAGTGTGTGGACAGATTTCCTGTACTCTCTGTTTATATATGATTCTTTGGATGACTATTATACATAATCTTATAAAATATATGTCCTGTTTTATATGGTTCCCCTTGTAAGCCTCTGACTAAAACAGACATCTAGATATAAACTGTAACAACCACATCTTTTCTCTTTTTCCTTGCCTTTTTCTTTCCAGATATAGAGCTGTTGCTTCCTGGAGTCGTGTTCAAGGAATTGGGATTCCCTTGATTACTGCCATTGAAATTGTCTCCATCTGGATCCTTTCCTTTATCCTAGCCATCCCTGAAGCAATCGGCTTTGTCATGGTGCCCTTTGAATACAAGGGTGCACAACACAAAACCTGTATGCTCAATGCCACATCCAAGTTCATGGAGGTACTGATGGATTTTATAATCTAATAAATTTAAATTTTTAAAATTAAAAATTAAAAGGAATTGGTGGGGGATGGGGTTTATACTTCACCATCTCAGAACTTGTTAACATCTCCACAATGCCAGGTGTGCTTTCCTGTTAGTTCAGTCAAACATTCTTCAGATGCAGGAAAAGGCAATGTTAAACTAGTTTTAGAGCAAAAAGAATAATGATTCTACTTCTTACACTTGTGGCATAACATCAGACACAGTGTTGTTCTGCAGCAAACTAAGAATTCTAAAACTAATTTACTAAGGTGTTTATGCACACAATACTGTTTGTTTCAGCAATAAGAGACACAGTACAAGGTCTATCTGACAGACATGAGGATGCTTGTGCTACTTGGGTAGGGAATGGTACTTACATATACATATATGAATATAGATTCTAGATCTCATATATGAATAATATAAAATTGCAGAACGTTTTATAAGAGCATTTTAGTTTAGCAAATTCAGTTATTCTTTAGTACACCTGACCACATTAATGCTTCTCTGAAAAGCTTAAGCACATGTTGAGTATATTGGGAAATATTCTAAAAATGCATTCTTTTGCAAAACTAGTTACATGTGGACTGAGGAGGAGAAGCAAAAAGATAGCTATTTCTCTTAAATCAGAATAATTTAGTGCTTTGATGTAAGCATCATACTGCTCAGATTCCACATGTAATCATTTACAGACATCTCAAGGTATGCTTTCCCAAAGTGGAAAATTCACAAAATTTGTGGTTTTGAAATTGATCAGTTATCTTGCTTGGAAATTCCTGTTTTAAAATTAAAAAGGGCTCATGAAAACTGCCCAAATGGCAAGCTTAAAATTGAAGTCTTCTGTTTATCTGCTGGCTTTTTACTTAAGTCGTTATTCACCGTGAAAAGCAAAAGTAGAAGGTTATCAGAACTTGGGCAGTGTAAATACACAGTGTACATATTCCAGAGAAAAACACTAGAGGGAAGAGGCTTAGTGTGAGAAGGTGCTCAGGGCTCGCTGAAGTTGGAAGAATGAAATGGGCTGCTTCATAAAGTCTCCTTTTAAGTGCTCAAGCAAAGGGTGACAGCATGCCAGCCAGGGTGGCATCAAGAGTTGCAGGAATGGGTGTAAGCTGAGCTAATAATATCTTAAAAGTTCCAAGTTTAAAGTCCTATTTGTTTGTTTGTCTGTTTTTCCAGTTTTATTTCCTCTTTTTTCTACTCTTCTCAACTTTGCTCTACTCTAATCTGATCAGAGGCCTCCTCCAATCCTTCCTAATGACATAAGTTCGAAAGAAATGTGCGACCCCTTGCTCAGCAGGCCTCTTCCACGGATGGGGCCGGAGCCTCCATGCAGCCCACTCAGGGGTCAACTTCCAGACCCTTTGCAGTGCTTGAGGGTCATTTGCACCAACATGCAATGCACAGTGTGACAGAAAGAAAGGGCAGCAAAGGAGGACCAGAAAGCTGAAGGGAGTGTTGTGTTGCATTTCAAAACAAAAAAATCAGGGCCCTTCTGATTTTTTTTTTTAAACTCAAGACTAAAATCATTTTTTATTGGTTTGGTTTTTTTCATTGTTCATTCCCTTTAAAATCAAAACAAGACTAAAATCCTTCTGCAGTGTGGTGGGCATAGGGAAATATCTGTATAAGCAGATTTGAATAAACTAACTCCTTTGGAAGTTTGTCTGTAACCTGAGGATAGAATTAAGGGGTCTGTGTGTTTACGTGGAACAGACATTTTGTATTTATTTTCACTAACTTCTTTTTTTTTATTTTAAAGAGAATAGTAAATGAGACACAAACAAACAAAAATATAGAACAGTAGCAGCATACAGTATTACAAACATAAACAAATCAAAGCAAGAACATTCAAAGTGATATAGAGTCTCAAGACAAAATAATACAAATCAACAGTGGTTGTTACATTACATATCACTATCCTCAACTACATTGCTCAGATTACCAGATGTAAGAATGAAAGATTGCTCAAACTGTTGAAGAGAATAAGAAAATAATTCTTCGATAAAACTTTAGAGATAATACAGAGTTTCACTACACAGGGTGATAGGAGTTCACCATTGTAATTCCTGAAATTTATCATTTACTTCAATTATGAAGGTAAGCAACAAACCATAATGGTACTTAAGAGTACCGTAACCTTTTCAGTGATAGAAATAGCAGGCATTTTCACACCACATCACACTATATAATCTTGAGATATGATTTATGCACATCATTACTTCAACATTCTATTATGTATTAGAGCCATCAATAGGTTTGATATTTAATTTGATGATAAAGATTTATATCGCTATGTCAGAATTTTATATTTAGTATTTTTATAGCCATGCTTTGATATAATTGGTTGGATAATCATATTTGTTTTACACATGTAAAAATATTGTTTTTCAGAAGGAATTGTAGCACTCAACAGACCTCCCAAGGGGTCTGTCACATAAAAATAGTTAGAACCTCAGACTGAACTTTTTGTCTTTAGGAACCATTTTTAGATTATTTTAACAGACATATTGTAAATGTAGCCCAGTAGGCCTCTTTCTATATTCAGAAACTATCCAGTTTTTCAGAGCAGCATAGCTATTTTTTACTGTGGGAACTGAGATATTATAGGAAGCTACATCCTTAGTAAATAAACAATCTGGAGAAACATCTTCAGAAAGGAAAAAGCAGTTCTTCCCAACTTTGTGATGAATTTAGTGGGAAAAACTCAGATATCATGTCCATCTTTCATTTTTATAAGGTGTTAAGTCTTCTCCCTGGAAAAGACATGAAACTGAATAATCTCGGTATTTATAAAGTCTTACCCACAGGGAGATAATGCTAAGAGGGCCCTCAGATAAGGTATGCTGCCACAATAGTTTCCAGGTGGCAGAGGGAAGGTATATAGTTACCGATGACTCAGACTGGCTAAGTTTGGGGTCACATAGCAGGCATACCAGGCAAAGGGTTAACTCCCCTTAATGAAAGCTACACAGATAAGCTATTCATAATCTTCGCTGGTTCCAAACAAGATATTTACACTAAGTACACTTTGAACCACAAGAATCAAAAGTCAACCGGGCACTAGCAAAATTTTGAGACTCATCAATAAACAAAGATAAACTTGTCTGAAACCATGATTTATAAACTTTGGTGGGGAATTGTTTTTATTGATAAGGTCTCTTTTGGTGTATAATTGAAACCAACTTCAGCTTATAAAAATGTACCCTTGTCAGGGTATTTTTTATATATGCAGTTTCTTCTTATGCTATTATAAAGAGGGGATAATTGCTGAAGTTTCAAGTTAATTGAGTTTTAAGCACGACTCTGAACCCTTTACTACAAGCAGAGTGCATGAATATACACATATATCTTCAAGAATAAAGATTGTAAAGCTATCAGAGGAGCTGCATAGTTAACTTATATATTATGTCCCACTTTCTCTTGCTTTTCTTCACTGGACAGTTCTACCAAGATGTAAAGGATTGGTGGCTCTTCGGGTTCTACTTCTGCATGCCCTTAGTATGCACAGCAATCTTTTACACCCTCATGACCTGCGAGATGTTAAACCGAAGGAACGGCAGCTTGAGAATTGCCCTCAGTGAACATCTTAAACAGGTAAACCTATTATAATCATGAATACCTGCCCAACGGCCAGGCATGGTTATGCATGCTTACAATCGCAGCACTTGGGAGACTGAGACGCATGATTCTGCAAGTTCAAGACCTGCCTAGGTTACCTAGTGAGTTTAAGGCCAGTCTGAGCTATGTAGTGAGACTTCGTCTCAAAAAACTAAAAAAAAAAATTTTTAATTAAAAAACAACTTTAAAAAAATTGAATACCTGGTAAGACTCTTGAAAACGGGAGGATCACAGTCTTTTACTTCATTATAGTATTTCAGTGTCAGACTACACATATGAGGGTGGTTCCACGGGATTGTAATGGAGCTGAAAATTTCTCATTGCTTAGTATTTTTACTGAACCTTTTCTGTGCCTAAAGATGTTTAGACACAAACACTATCACGTGACAGTTGCCTGTAATACTCAAGACAGCATTACGCTGTGTATATGTGTGTAGCGTAAAAGCAATTGGCTCTACCAGGTAGCCTAGGCACACAGCAGGCTCTACCATATAGGTTTGTGTGAGTACACTCCATGATGTTTACAAAATGATGAAATTGCCTCACTGTGCATATCTCAGGTCATATCCCTCTCCTTAAGTGACTCATGACCATACTATATATAGCAGATTGTGCCTGGTTTTCTAAAAATACAAATACTGTCTTGCAATTTTTTATAGTTATAATTTAGAAATTCCTTTTGTGAACTGAGGAGCCTGCCTTTGAAGCAGATGGCCCTGGAGGCTGGGTCCAAAGGGAGAGGAAATATTTGTTTAGTTTGCCAAGAGTGTATTCAGCATGTGTATGTGGGTGTCTATACATTATTTGGGCTTGGAACTATGCCAAGACGGAGAGAAACATATGACTTCCTTCCCTTGCAAGTTTTACAGTCCAGTTGTAGAGACAAAACATGAAACAGAAAGCAGAATGATAAAGTATGGTGCAAGTACCTTGTACTGTAGAAAGCTGGAAGGAACATGAGACAGAATCATGCTGAAACTGTTCATTAAGGAGGAGGATTGAACCAGGCTTTGGAGGATAAATGGCATTTGATGAGGAAGAGGAGGACAGAAGCTATTTCTGTTGGAAGGAATAGCATCTTTCTAGAACACAGAATGGGCACCATCCATTTGTGGAGTAGGATAAAGGAGATGAACTTTATTAAAGCATCTAAAAGACTCTTGAAAGGAAATAAGATTGAGTATATTGGAAGAGGTAAAATTTTGGAGGGTCCAAATTCTAGAAAGAATTGGAACAATCAGTAGGGAACTAATGTTAGGCAGCAAACAGAATGATAATGCTTTAGGCGTTAGAAGGCAAAACTCGATGCTTATACTTCTTGGCTACATGACCTTGGACAAATTGTTTATCCTCTCGAGTTTCCAGTTTTTCATAAGGTGTATGTATTAATACATTATAGGGATTACTTAAGGTATGGAAGAGTCCTGGTAGTACCCAATTCCTAGTAGGTACACAGCAAACGTTAATTTATATTAACTCAATAAGTAAAGCTGGGACTGCAGCTCAGTTTTCAGCCACAGTGGAGGAATGCATAAGAATGTCCCAGTACACCAAAAGTCAATGTGTGTGGTTGATGGAGTCCGTAAATCTGTCCTATATGATTATCATACACAAGTGTCATTCCTCACCAGCAACTCTTGTCAACCACTGTACTGATTTTTCTGAGCTTCAGCTCTTTGTCTGTAAATTGGGCATGATAATGTGTGAATCGATGTGAGAATCAAAGGAATTGATGTGCGTGTATGTACTGTGTAAACTCTAATGTGCTATATCAAGGGTAGCTCTTATTTTTTACTGACATTTAGCAGGCCAATTACATTAGTAAACTTTAGTATGACTTTGTTTGGCCATTCACGTTTCAAACACTTCAGATGTGAATATACTAAGCAGTTCTTAATTCTCATCCCTGCAGTGAGGACCCTAATTAGAAAAGATTTGTGAAACAGAGTATTTAACATGTTGATTTTTGCATTGAGTCTTCTTAATCTCTGTGCAATAACTTTTCCGAAAGTAACTAAATAGGGATTGATAATAATAACAGTAGTAATAACAATAGTCTGCTTCACATGTACGCAGTGTTTTTAAGTCTTTTAAAAACATTCCAGCGTCCTTTGTGCTGTGCTGCTGCCTATCTGTGCTGGAAAGAATCCATTGGTTAAGGGATTTGCTCAGCTGAATGACACTGAGATGCCTGGTCTGCATGAAGCTGGTGTTTGGTCTGGTCATGCTCAAAGCTCTAATAAGTTCTGAGAGCGGTAAAGCAGGGTTAGCTGGAAATCCTCAGAGAGGGACTATGAGGTGGAAAGCCTTGCCACTCTAACTAGTATTCTGTAGGGCTCCTTCTCTTCTTCCTTGGTTGTCTACAATTGCTATTGTTCATAATGACAATAATTTTATCAGTGAGCAATTGTATCCAAATGCTGGAGAAAGAAAACCCAAAATAAGAGGGACTTATTTAACCATGGAAGGGTTCACCTTTCTCCCGCTGGAAAAGATTCAGATATTGTTGCTTCACTGGTCAAGGAACTCAGAGGCCAGCTGCTATTTTGCTGGTCTTTCCTGCAGTCTTGGAAGATGGCAATGTCCACTCTACTTTTCCTTGATAACTCTACTTTTGTTTCCAGTACTAGGGATTGAGACAGGTCCTTCACACTGATGTACATCTCCAGCTCCTTTTTATTTGTTATTTTGACCCAGGGTCTTGCTAAGTTGCCCAGCCCAGGCTTAAACCTATGATTCTCCAGCTTCAGTCTCCCAGAGTGCTGGAATTATAGGCAAGCACCACTCTATCTGGTGGAGCTCTGCTTTCATATCTGATTTTCAGGCAGCAAGAAGGGAAAAGCTGTAGAGCATTATTAGTGTGTGTGCACCAAAGGAGTACACACACACACACACATGCACACTCACACACACTTGTGGACAATTTTTCCAACAACACACACAAGACTTCCTTAAAGCTAATTGGTTAGAACTGTAACTACAGTTCGGCTCGCTGCATAGGTGAAGTGGCCCTGTCTATAACAAAAACCAAAGATCTATCTGATAATCAGAAAATAGGAGAATGGATGTTGGTTAGGTGAATAGCAGACTGTCCATTGCAATGTATTAATATGACTTTTTTAAGAGTTAAATTCCTTAAGAATATGCACTGGGAAGGTAACCTCTTAATCTCTCCCTATTTTTCTGGGCACATTGCCTTTCTGTGCACACAAAATGACCCTTTAAAACTCCCCCATTTCTGTGGATTGGAATGCTCGGTTATCACTCTGATGCCGTATCTCAGCTACAAAAGATTAGAGAACTGGCTCATTTCTTGGGCTGCATCAACATTTTGTGACCACTGGCACAAGTCTTTATGAATGGCTCAAATAATCATGTGGGTTTACTGTAGGCTCCCATATTTAATGTCAAACAGGCTTCAGTAATGTTGAACCGGCGTGATCTTTCCAAATCCTGTTTTCAGTCATTTTAATTTTGATTTTAATTGATCCCCCTTATAGACAAGTTGCATTTTATGTTCCTCCTTATGCTTTTAATTGTGTGCAGTACCATACTTAGGCATAATGCCTGCAGTGATTGGCTACAGATAATTCCTAACTTATGGTTTCTCTCTGATCTTGAGCGACTCAAAGTCATGTAAACCTTCAGCTGAAGTCAGTCCAGGGTCAGCACGTTCCAGCTTCATAATCATCACTAATGATAATCTTTAACCTACATCCTTCTGTTTGTAAGCAATAATCTTTGGAATCCTGGTATCTCATTACTAAAAGAATTTAAAAAAAAAAAAAAATCCGAAACGGTCACTGTGGTAAACGCCTGTAATCCCAGCTGTTCAGGAAGCTGAGGAAGGAGGATCCCAGAAGCCTATTAATGCAAGACCAGTCAGGGCAACCTAGCAAACCCTATCTCAAATAAGTAAATAAAAAGAAAAAAAAAAGCCAGCCAGCTATCTTCTTGATCAGGAAAAAGAGAAAACACGTTACCATGGCTTTTTCTATTGTTTCCCACCACTATTTTGTTTTCCAGATGTCTTTGTAGATTTGTGCGTTCTCCTGCTGTGTTGTCACCTGTCTGCTGTGCTATTATTAGATACCTGTTACTGAGCTTTTATCTAATCCTTCCCCCTTAAACTCACCCCCACTCACCTACACACACAGGCATGCACTTGGGCACATGGCTCACACTCAGCCACAGGTTGACTCGCCTGCAGCCAGTTCCCCAAAGGTTATATTCTGGCATATAAAAGCTGTCCTGGCCTAATAGCCTGAGGCCATCATCCCTTCCTGACAGCTGTCCAAGAGCATCATTAGCAAGCTCTTGATGAAAAAGTTGCGCTCCAAATCTGGAAGAGGCAGGCATTCTGTGAGGGGCCGTTTTCCCAGCTCATCTTTGAGTTATTTACCGTCTTTTGTAGTTGTTTTAACCAGTGCAAAAACACTGAACTTACTGGATTCTTCTTCCCCACTTTCCTTTAGCGTCGAGAAGTGGCGAAAACCGTGTTCTGCTTGGTTGTAATTTTTGCTCTTTGCTGGTTCCCTCTTCACTTAAGCCGTATTTTGAAGAAAACAGTGTATGATGAGATGGACAAGAACCGGTGTGAGCTACTTAGGTAGGATTCTTTGTACCCATTAGGAAATTGGAGTTCCCCTGCTTTTCCCATTTATAAAAATTTTACATCTTCTTCATATTCTCATTAGCTCTGAAAGTTAAAATTGCAAAGTTGATATTTTTTTTAGCTGACATAGCCCATGGCTGATCCCAAAATTTGTGCAAGCCATGTCTATAATCTCGCCAGACCCTTCCGGGGCTGTGCATAAGGGTTTCAGTTAACCAAGGGGTCGATCTCGCGTAACCATCCTGCAGAACTGAATCTGCCACTTAAACAAGCACTTTTTATGGAATTCTAACTGCCACCTACACGACATGGCTTCTGGGCAAGAAAAATGCTTATCCTAGGGATAACTGCGACTTAGCAAATTTTAAAACAATACATCCTCACTGTTCTGTTTTCTTTTGCTCTAGTTTCTTGCTGCTCATGGATTACATCGGTATTAACTTGGCAACCATGAATTCATGTATAAACCCAATAGCCCTATACTTTGTGAGCAAGAAGTTTAAAAATTGTTTCCAGGTAAGTCTGTTCCGCAAATATTTTTAAGGACAACAAAATGAACCACAAGTAGCCACAAGACACGCCAATTCCAATTCTGATGCCACTTTAATCAGCAATACTGCTTTTTAGCAGAGATGTACAGATCTCATTCTGTTACTTAGAAAGAAGGTCGGATTGCCAGCATAACGGAAAAGCAGTATCTATCTATCAGACAACAAACACAGTCAGACTAACTCGACTACATGCCAGTTAAGTATGCTGTTTTTAAAAGAAATGCTCAAATGTGAGCTGCAGATACATAGAGTACATAAAGCGGATTCTCACCTTATGTTTCTTAGACTTTAATCACAGGCTGAACAAAAAATAAACACTGCAGTTAAGAAAGCTTGCATAAATATTATTGAATAGCACATTTACTAATAACCTCTTCAAGGAAAGTTCTTATTACTCTGGAAATCTCTACTACTAATCATTTCATTAGAAATCAGTTCCCTCCTATTCGCAAACCTCCTTCCAGCTAAGCCAGGCAGTCCTCCAGGAGCTTCGAGCATGTGGAAACTGAGCAAGTGACACCTTTATTGAGGTGTCACTTCTCCAGTTCCTGGAGTGATTTTAGCGTAGACCTACTCCTAACTAGATTTTGTTATCTGTGACCAGGATGTTTGACTCTAGCTCCTTATTTATTAAGTAAAGCTGTGTAAAGGGTGAGGACACATCCTCTGGATGAAACAGCCTCAACTGACATCACAGCTCTGGATTTACTAATTGTCTAACCAGGTCTTATTGGTTCCTATCCTGTTTCCTCAGTTTCCCCATCCATAAAATGGGATGATCATAGTATCCATCTCATAAATAAGATCCAAAGGGTAAATATATGTAAAGTTCCTGAAACAAGTGCTCAATACAAGTTGATTATTATTAGGGATAAAATACAGAATGGAAGCACAGCAACAGCCTTCCCAAAACTTACACCCCAAAATGAGAAAGACACATAATAACCAAAGTATCAAACAAATAGAGGAGACTTGGAATGGAAGTTGTAGTGTTTTCATATCACAAAGTGCTATGCCTAAAATGGATTGACTAATAATACACTGGTCACAACTAATTCATTTTATAAGCTGATAACACTTTTTAATTAGCTTACATATTAATTATAAGGAGCAGGAGAGTTAAGGTACAAATTCTCAGAAATTAAACACATGTTTGACAGATCTTCTTAAAAAGGCAGCCTATCAAAGAGAAAGAATCCAATCTAGAGAGACCGGGTTCTAACTGAAGTTCAGGCTCTTAGCAGCCTCTCCGCCTTACTACCCTTGTTCATAGAAGGAGATAAATAGCACTATGGTAAGGATCAGATGAGATACCTGATGCCTAGAGCCACACACGCACAGTGAAGAAAAGGTACCCGTGCATGCCCAGGATACGGAGAGCCCTTCCTCTGACCAGCATGCCTCCGTTTCCTCTTCCATTTTGTGAATAGAATTAAAACAAGAAGAAAGAGATCTCACTCCTTCTCTTCTCTACAGTGACAGTTTAGGATCCCCAGGTGTACACCTAGCCCCCTTCTGCTGTGCCTCAGAACCTGTGTTCAGCTGGGCACGGGTTGTCACTCAAGTTATTCACAATCTGTCTCCTCTCCCAGTCATGCCTCTGTTGCTGCTGTCACCAGTCAAAAAGCCTGATGACCTCAGTCCCAATGAATGGAACAAGTATCCAGTGGAAGAACCATGACCAAAACAACCACCACACGGAGAGGAGCAGCCATAAGGACAGCATTAACTAACATCTTAAGAAGCATCCATCAATACGCCTTCAAATCCTATCAGAGAAAAAAACCAACACGCAGAAACTGTGTCTCCTGAAATCTCTGACCCTTCTTCTATAACTCAGTTGCATCCCTGTGAGGGCCAGGGTGTGCTCTAGATGCTTTCCAAAACAGTAAAGAGTGAAATGGTTTATACCCACAAAATCAATGAACGGTACTTCTTTAACTTGTCTGATATACAGAGTTTGCATGTTCTATTCAAGACTAAAAATGGGTGGAGAATGGAGACTGCTAAATAAATCTAGAAGGATTTTGCTACTTTTGCATGAAAATAGTTTTCAAGTGAATGGCTAGCTTTCATGGAAGTCCTGTTGTGAGTTCCATGGAACTGGTGGTCATCACAGAAGTTTAGAGATCATGGGGCCGGGAATATAGCCCAGTGGTATAAGTGCCTGCCTGGCAAGCACAAGGCCTTAGTTCAATTCCTGGTACCACACACACACACACACAAAATAGAGATTATGACAAAATTTTATGCTTTTTAAATCTTTTTCGAGGAGCAACCAAACAGCCTGGGTTTAAGTCACTTTTCTTTAAAATGCCATTCAGTGCCAGTATTTTTTAATCACATACTGGCCCAGAGATGATTATTTGAGCTAGTTCACACACATTTTGATTAACAACAATATTCAGGTGAGAAATTAGGCTGTTTTTCATGTAACTATTTTATTTTTAAGGTATAAACTCTAAAACAGCAAAAAATATAGGCACTTAAAGCACAGACTGATAACATATAGCAATTTAATAGTGGCTAACCAAAAAAATTTCAGAGCCTATATTTTTTTTTTCATGGTGTATTGGTATAGATCTTGGACATATTCTTGTGTTAAATTCCAAAATAATGCTTGGATCAAATGGTTCTGTTTTTCACAAACCCAATCTTTTTAATGCAAATTTTAAAATGTAAAACCATGTTCAAAAGTCAAATTAACGTACTGTTTAACTATCAGTGATACTTGCAGTGCAATGTGTAGAAATCTAAAGCACACATATGTGAGAAAGACTGGATAGAGGATTGGGACATTTTTACTGAGCTTTTGTAATAGTACCATCTACCTTTGTACTCTCTTAATTTCTCCTAAGATGGTAAGTAGAATTAAGACATTTTTGGTCATTCCTTTCTCTGGGTAGATGACATAATTTCAAAGTGGCCAGATGAGGTTATCATGTCAGTGAGATATCGCTAGTCCCGCCATTCAATTTTAGTTCTTCACGTCTCTGAGTTTCTGGTAGGAACCTAAATTCTCACCTAGCCCCGCCCCCCCTGCTTCCGCACTTGGTCGCAATTTCAAAGGGCCCAGAGTGACTTTGCTGGGCATTTTCCCAAATGTTTACAGACTGTGAGTACACAAGAAGACTCTTACTCGGTGTGCGTATGTATATATATGTATAAACTGTAAATTCATTTTAACCATTTTTTGTGACCGTCTCTATGGAATGCATTTGTATATGTGTGACTTAGTCACACATGTGATGGGATGTATGATTTAATCTAATAATGCTCTGTGATCATGCCAAAGCACATGCTCTGTGTGAAATCTAGGTGATTGTTTCATCACAACAACCTGTCATAGTCAGTTTTCACATATTAGGATCTCCTGTGTTCAGAAAATGTGTGACCGTGTTACGAGTGCAAATACAACACGGGAGCAGCATGCAAGGGAGTGAGCCGTGCGTTCATTACAACATGGGGCTTTGTTTGGTTGGTTTGACAGTGCTGTACTTGGAGTCATATTGTTCCCTGTGCTGGAGCAATAGCCATTACAGCTCGAAGTATTATATTGTTCCAATCTCAGCTGCTTTTGGTGATGAGCTTGACAAGTAGCCTTATGTTTTCTATCAAATTTTGTCAGATTTCCTGTGAGAGATGAGCTAAACTAATTTGTTGGGTCGTACTTTAGCGGTCATGAGTGAAATACATGAGGTTGCACTTGCCTTTGTTCCAGGTTCCATTGCATGCTCCTTTGTGTGTCTGTCAGATTCAATTATGCCACTGGTACATCATATGCAGTGATATATGCCTATAATATAAGCCATAAATCCACACCATTTTGTCTATAGACAGTTGTCTTTTTTTTAAAGATGCTTTGTTTCTTACATATAAAAAATGCATTTCATAAATTCAGAAAGTCATAGCTTTCTGAATAACTACACAAGCCTCCACGTGCATTTTGTTTATGGACTGGTAAGTAACAACAGTTTACTGGTAGGAATATTTCCAATTTCTACCTTTACCGCATCTTTCCAACAAGTAACTTTGTAGAAATGAGCCATAAGCTAAGGCCCTAAGTTGGCAGCAGCCCGGAAGCATAAAATAAAAGTTTACAGAAGTTTTGCAAGTGTCTCTTCATTTTACATAGTTCTTCATTAACAATGCCTGTTACATAATGCCTGTTGTAAATCTCTCATTAGTATTAACCAAGCAAGGAGTTTTACTTTCAGCTATTTTCACATGCTACTCTATACTTGATCAACCTCCTCTGTGGACCTGAACATTTAGCTCTGTCATTTATTTCTTTATTTTACCTTTCCAGGACACTTTGAGCATTTATTATGCACCAGCCATTCTTCTAGATAGTAGAGATGTAGCAATGAACAAAACAGGAAAGGTTGCTTATCTCATGAGCTTGCTTTCCAAAGAAAAGAGTTCAGCAATAAGCAATTACAGTCAATGAATATTATTTAGGTGGATATCTTAAGGAAGGCATTCATATACATCCTGACTGCCTACTTAACCTCTCCAGTTGGATAGCTAATTGACCATAACATGTTCAAACAAAGCTCTTGATATCTTCCAACCTGTGCTACTATGAAAATATTCTGTTCAGTTAAATACAAGACCATCCTTTTGAGTTAAGACAAAAACCTCAAAGTTATTTCTCATTCTTTTCTCTCACACCTTAAAGCCCTATCTTCAGATTATTCCCAAAATTGTAACACTTCTCTGTCCCTACCTCTACCTCCCTAGTCTGCACATCATTGTCTTTTGCCAGAAAATTGCAATAGACTTCTGTCATGCCTATTTTTTCCCAGCCTTGTAAACAACGGCACTCCCCCCTTTGAGCCTGTCTATCCTCCTCTATAAATGGTTAGGTTAAGCCAGACCTGTAGAGGTGAAGCTATGGCCTGTGTGCTACCGCAGGCTGCTTGTATCATTGAGAGCTTTACAAGATTCGCCGTCACTAAGCTAGACTAATCAGCCTGTGCCAGAAAATTCCTTTATAAAGTAGTAGGTAAAAAAGAGAGAGAGAGTACCCTGTACCCCTGTGGCAGGACGGAAAAATTGCCAGCTAGAAAATTGCTGGCCACTGTGGTTTGGAAATCATAAAGAAAGTCCGCGTAGACTGTCACAAAGATTAAAAAAAAAAAAAAAAAAAAAAACAAAGAAGTCCCCAGTTCCAGTTTTCCTTGATGCTTTCCCATGGCTTAAGTCAACAAACCAAGACATTTACCTTTTGGCCTGTGCTAGTTAAATTTGGTTTCCTTTGCTTATCAGAGACACATCATAAGAACAGTTCATCTAAGTTATACCAACGCATCTGTTACCGTGTTTTTAGAGCAGTTTTAAGTTTACAGAAAAATTGGCCCAAAATTGCAGAGAGCTTCCACATGCTCTCTTTCCACCCCTCTCTGCATGTCCTTTCCCCTGTGATTTATACCTGGAATTACTGTGGCACACTGATCACAGCTAATGAACCAGTATCAAAGCAGTACTATTGCTATGTCCATGAAGCTCACTCTTCGTGCTCTGTCATCTTATGGATTTTGAAAGCCATACTGTGTGCTCCACTGTTCATCCCTCCCTCCTTCTTTCAGTGAGAACACTGTGAAGCCCTTTCATCTATGACTCTCGGTAGGAATATTCAATCACTGCCGAAAGAATGGCATAATAGTAAGCAACATAGTATTGCCTCTACATTGTAAAGTTTCTGAAAAAACATCACTAAGTGTTATTTCCTATTCAAAAATTAAACTACTGAGTGGTGAAATTGTAAAGTGCTTGCCCAGCATGTATGAAGCCTGGGTTCAATGCCCAGCACTGCATGCATATATACATACACACATATATACATGTAAACAACCTACCCAGTAAGTTTAAAATTATTAAGGTAATGAAACAAGTTTGAGACTAAGTCCAGGAAATAGTCAAAACCAATATGAGTCTTTGGCTAATCTATCACTGCTATTGTTTTTAATAGTTTTACTAGTCTTTGTTATAGTATTGAAAACTATCAGTGGAATAAAGGGAATGCACTCTCAGCCTTCCCAAATCCCTCCAATCTTGTGACCCCAAGGCTTATATTTCGTTGTTTGTTAAAAAAAAAAAAAAGAAAAGAAAAGAAAAGAAAAAATCCAAGGCAGCACTGTCTTTACTGATTTTACACCATACTTCAAACAAGTGAAGTTAAATCAGAGCACAAGTCCTTCACACGTAGTAGAGTTTCTGATATTACAGTGAGGTCTTCACAGTGAAAAGTTCCCATGGTTTTTAAAGTAATCCTACATTTGGAAAAGCTTCTGTGGTACTTTCCTCTAAGTAGTGACAAAGACAACTCAGTGTCTATATTTTGTCAGCACTGACAACTCTGGCTTTGTTTCCTGATAAAGCTAGAACCCATAACATCTCCTAGCCTCCTGAGCTTTTAGCATCAGTGTTATTCAATACAGTCTACCAACTGTGTTTCTTCCCAGGAGTACTAAATTAGGAACAGCAGTGCCAACTCTACATATAATTAGAAGAGTCATGGAATCTTCCTAGGGGAGCTCAGAGAATACCACAGATTTTTCCTCTTTGGTCTTAAACCACAGTCCTCTTATCTAGCTGATCTACGTGGAATTGATCATTGTTTATCTGACTTTGACCCTGTGACGGTTGATACAATTGTATACTTGGAGCCGTGTGGTAGATTTGTCCCAGATGGGAGTCATGGCCTTGCCCAGTCCACACAGTGTCACACTGCCAGCTAAGCTACAGGCCACAGGCACCTCCAGGACGGAGCCCTGGCTCTTTCCAGTTCCTCACATTTTTTTCCCAGAATACAGTCATTCTCCATGAACTGTAGCTCTCTGTTTCTCTCTAACTATGACTATTAAGATCGACTTGAGTTGCATTCTTGTGCTTTTTAAATATCTTAAAAGGGGAAGACCTAAAAGTGAGCAAGTGGGGAACATATATGCTCCTTTAAGCATCAGAGACACGTTTTCATAATGAAATACTGACATTGGTCTATTTTTTTCTCTGTGTTATGAAACCCAGTGGGGTGAAGCCTGTAACACTCCCTCTAACTTCCGATTGAGACCCTGTTGGAAAGGATAGAGTTCTGCTGACCAGCTTAGGGCGGATAGAGACAAGTCCTGGGGTTGAGGAAGGTGGGGAGGGAGTTCTTTCTAAAGAAAAGGGAAGGTGGGCATCTTTTCTTCAAAGGAACTGTCTCTCCTGCTATTCCTTATTTCTGACATTTTTTAGTCCACTTAATTAAATGTTTATTGTCTTTAAAAATAATTTTCCTCAAAGAATATAAAAATGATTTTCCTCTTCTAATTACAAAAAGGGTGTATAAATTATACATATAATTTATTTAAAGCCTTTATAGAGCAATAATGAATGAACAGCTTATGTAGGTAAGGAAGCGAAGCCCTATGGATGGGGTTGTACAGTCATTCCTCAGTATGCAAAGGGTTCCAGAACCCCCTCATAAAGCAAATCCACATATGCTCATGTCCCTTGTGTAAAATGGCATAGTACATAACCTACACACATCTTTATTATACTTTTAATCACTTCCAGATTACTTATAATACCTAATTATATATAAATAAGTAAATACATAGTTATTATGCTGTGTTGTTTAGCAAATAATAAGTATAAAGGTCTCTAGATGTTTGATATAAATGCAAATTTTTTACAAATATTTTCAACTCATGGTTAGTTGAATCCATGGATGAGGAACCTGTGGATATGAAGGACTATGTAGCAATAAATGATTGATAGATGATGATAGATAGATAGATAATAGATAGATAGATAGATAGATATTTAAGGTACCCAGTCCTGTGCTGTGAGGCTATACAAATAAGGCTATACTGTCCATCTCCTGGGATATTTAAGGAAGAATGAAACACTGGATCACAGGGTTTGTGCATGATTAAAATCACTAAGTTCTGCCAGGCTGTCTCCAGAATGTCCACACAAGTACAGAGTTGATCCATTATGGAAGATTTCAGCAGCGCTGCATACACTGCGGTTGCTCCCCCTTCTACTGGAGCCATTACCCTGGAGTTGCATGTAGCTTTGAATCTCTTCTACCTGCTGTCTTCACTAATCCCAAGCTCCAGTGTTCTTGCTGTGAAGCATTTGCACCTGTCATTTTCCAGGGTCAGGGAGTCCCTGTCTTGGGAAAAGCTCTTGGGAATTTTACAGCCTCCTCTATCCCCACCAGTGACTTCCCGCTGTGGGAGTACCAAAGCCTGGCTCTTGCATCTTGAGATTGAGTAACACGAAGCACCTCAGAACATCAAGCTGTGTCTTAGCACTTCACCTGAAATCTCACCTTTACTTCTTCCCTCCCCTCAGCCTGCTTCTTCCGCTCATTTGCTGCTGTCCGTTGAGAGCTGTCCCTTAACACACCACTCACATGCAAAAGCTTGGCTCAAGGTCAACCTCTGGAATACCTTGACCCAAGACTGCAAACCTCTTTATTTCACTGCTCAGCAAATTTTTTAAATTGAATATGTTGGATTCTTCAGCATATTACATTTGGGCTCATATTTGAAGCCAGTATTTCAAGTTTTTTATCAGGGCACTTTAGTATGTAGGGGAGTTTTCTCTTAATCGGTAATCCAAACTTTTTCACCCTCAGCTTCAGCCCCTGCTCTGTGAAAATATGACTTTTCTGTCCAACAGTCATTTGACCACTTTAGGAACCCCATCTCAGACTCTGGGGAGTACTGCTTTTGAACTTTTCTGTGTATTCAAACATTCCTTAGATCAAAAGTCAGCTGCAATCACCCTTAAGAAAGCATCCCCCTCCCAAGCAGCTGCCAGACAAAGGTTTGGGTCGCTTAGGATGCTGGAAACCAGTCATAGAGGTAACAAGGTTCTTCAGCAGGAGGGGGAGCACAGGGAGCAGGCACAGGCATCCTCCCTGGGACTCTGACAGGGGAAACTGGGGGGCTGGGTAGCAGCCTGAGGAAACAGCAGGATCAAAGGAAAGGTTTATTATTTTTTTCTTCAAGAGAACAACAACCTCAGCATCTTCAAGACAGAAGAATTGTGGCCAGTGAAAGGAAAAGATCATGTGGAGATAAAACAAAGAAAATGGATGGATCACGATC